GAAAGAGAGAGAGAGAGAGAGAGAGAGAGAGAGAGAGAGAGAAACTTGTAACTGTCAGGAAGAAACTAAAGAAGAGACCAAAAAAGACCACTATCTATTGGGTCATGATCTCAAATACATATTTATTAATATATTGTGACATATTTATATTATATAGTACAGAGTTGTAGATATCAGGCAAAGTGAGACTGAAATTGAAAAGCAAAGAGAAGAATGAAAAATAAGAGGTGCCACTGAAAATTAATGGAATGAGGCTTATGGTGAGTACCATCATATAAAGTATAATTCTAAGAAATCTCTTTGCATATGGAAACTCTAAAGATAAATCTTAGAGCTAGATAACTAGGATGAAGTCACAGCACCACCATTTATTAGCTATGTCAGCTTCCAGTTGTTTTCATGTATAAAATGAGGATAACAATTTACCTTACAGGATTGTAGTGAAATTTGAACAAGATAAAGTACAGGAGAGAGATCTGTAAGCTATTAAATGCTATAGAGGTATGAGGCAGCAAAAAAAAAAACTATGGCAAGTGTTTGGAAGTTATAATGCAGAGGATTTCAATTAAATCTAAGAAAGAAATTCTGACAGTGTAATAATATAATCCAGTGCAGAATGGGCTCCCTTACATTTCACTGAGCTCCTTCTACAGAAAGTTTTCAAACAGAGGCTATATGGCCATGTGTTGGAAATGTGGCAAAGAGGACTTCCATCTTAGAAGGGAAGGTGCCTGATATTATTTCTAATGATTACTTCTGAATCCAAGATCTGTGATGAGTGATATGTGGCAACTGGAGTGGCAGCTTTGGGTTTATATATGGCAATCTTAAATCACACTGTTTTCTTTCCTTGTCAAGGCTGTTATAAAGAAGTTATTTCCATAAGCAGACTTTGTGAAGAACCTACAGGCTGGTTTCTCTGTACACTTGACTCTCAGGAGATGAGCTAGCTCTTGGTACAAACCCAGGAATGTGTAGCAGGAAACAGAGTTCTCTGCCTATATCACAGACTGTGCCTCCAACATGACAGCAGCGAAACCCCAAAACAATAAAGTGTCACCATATCCACCCAGACCACACGTTGACACATGCACTTATGTTTACACACATATACGTGTTTACACACACACGCTGATTGGACCAAAAATCAGAGAATTTTCATTTCATTCACTCCCACATCCAGTCCATTAGCAAATCTTCTTAACTCTAGTACCAAAAGTACTTCTTAACCACTTTATTATAATCAACACCCTGATTCAAGCCACCATGACCTCTCATCTAGGTTGCTGAAGTAGCCTTTTTACCAGTCTCCCAACTCAGTCTTGACCCACCACAGTCTATTCTTCATATGCAACCAGAATAGTCCTTTTATGCTGTAAATTAGGTCATATCTGCTCTTGGTCCTCTAGTGACTTTCTATCACACTTAGAAGAAAATCCACACTGCTTTCCAAAGTTTCCAGGACCCTGCACCACGTGGTCCCTGAATACCTCTTCAGTGTTGCTTCCTGCCAGCTCACTCCAATACACAAAACACTTTTGGTCTTGAGATATTGCACTTGCAGTTTCTCTGATTGGTGAGCTCTTCCCTAGATGTCCATGTGGATTGTTCCTTCACAACTTATCACACAAACATCCTGCCTCCGTCACTCCCTATTGCATTACCTTGCTTAGTTTTTCTTCATAGCACTTCCTGCCACATGACTTACTAATTTGCTTATTTTTATTGTCTACCATTTCTCCATTAAAATACAACTCTGTAAGAGATTTTGTTTATATCATTGTATCCATAGTACCTAAGGAAGTTTCTGGTACATGGTAGACATTCAGTAAACACTTATTGAGTGAATAAATGAATGAATGAAAGTCCTTATACTATTTCAAATACTAGAATTTTTAATGGTACGTTTAAGGAGATATTTGTGGTAAATCTGGGGAATGGTGGTGATGTCTGATACTCATTTTCAAGTGTAGTTTATTCTGTGTTGTCATAAGGTAATGTGTCTCCATTGCCTCAAACCTTCAGTTAATTTTATACACAGCAACGTGTGTAGTGATGCCTGGTTGGCAACAAAGGCATCCCACAGTGGGCGTGTCAGGACTGTAGACAGCAGTCCACTGCAGAAACCAGCGAAAGCCAGGCAATTTGCGATAATGTGGACTGCTCAAGGGAATGAGGGTCTTCCCTGAAATTCTCAGAAAACTTGAAGACTATACTTTCCACAGAATGTGAAATGAAGGCGTATGTCATTCCATGGAGAATTAAAAGAAAGGGGTGATCCCACAGGGCCAAAGGAATGTCCAAGAAGGGGAGGAGGAATATCTGCATTGCCCTTTTTCTGATGATGTACCAGCCAGAACTCTAGAAAAATGTTTCCCAGTAAAGGGGAAGCTTTGATAAAAGTGAGGAAGTCATCACTGGCATGATTCTTTCCTGTCTTCTGGGTGAACCTGTAAGGACAGAGTACCCACTTAGCTATCTACATTGCCAAGGCAGATTAGTTTCCAAGTGAATCCCAAAGGTCCTTGTACCAACAATGACTTACTATTTCTAAATAGGATTTATTTCTGAACCCTCTCCCTTAAGGAATGGGGTTCTAATTTTCCTTTTCTAGAATCCCCACATTCTGTCTTTGGATGATCCAAAACCTTGGAAAAGAAAAAGAAATCAGAATGTAAAAATGTATCTCTATAAACACCAGAACTTACCCAGACCCCTTAGAAAAAGGTAATTCAACATGTGGCCTCCATACTTCCTTAGATAAGGACCAGGGCAAGTCCTGGGCTTAAGCCACTAAGGAAAGTTTATACAGTGACTTTGGGGAGTGGGGGTGGCGGGCAGCTTCTCTCTCCAATTCTCCTCTTTCTATGAGCGACTGTTTCACTTAAGTCATACTCGCAATGATGCCCCCACAATAGAGCTCTTTTCCTGTTAACTGTGGTAAGTCAAAACCTACTTCAGAGAAGACAAAGTCACCACACTGGGGGACTGAGAAAAGAAGTGGGTTTCATGTGCTTTTGGTTGCTTGAAAAGAAAAAAAAAGAAAACCTCAAACTACTGAACTAGAAGCACCCTTTACGTATGTATGTGTTTGTGGTGTGTTCTACTTTGGGCTTAGCATTTCATAAAGGAACAATGCCAATCCAGTTTTCAATAAACATATTAAAAAGCTTTGAATTTTTTACATTCCTTATGTTCCAACTGAGGTTAAAAAAAAATTTAAGGTTCCTAAAGGGACTGTCAGTACCTCTTCTCTGGAATCAGTAAAGCATAGTGAGCTACAATTCTACCTTCAGAAAGTCCCGAAGGCATCCTAGTGCAGCTCAGACTTAGGGAGATGAAAGTACCAGCAGTATCATTACCAGCTGACAGCATCAGTTCAGCTCAGGATGCTCAGGCCCTTCCCCACTTACACTGTGCTCTTGTACCATTATCTAGAAGGGTCCATTTGCAAAAGAATCATGGTCTAGCCAACTTCCTATGACCCTTTGGAACTGGCATACTTGATAGTTGAAGCCAAAAGGGGAGAGAGTGGATGAGGAGGATTTCACCCTCAGGGCTGGGAATACAGTCTAGCAGTCAGCCATAGGAAGGGTAAATGTACCTACTGGAATTTCTCCAGGAGGCACCTGCTAAGGAACCTGACCCTCCAGAGCAGATGAATGAATACAAGAGTTTTAGGGAGAGCAGATAACAATTTTCAACCTGAAGCCTTGGTTTTGTTCGTTAACGTATTCAACAAGTATTTGAATATATTCTAAATGATAGTTTTAACTCTGGTGACCCAGCAATTTTCCTTGTCTCTGTCCTTGTACCATGTACATGTACTACCTATTCAAATCAATCAAAAAATAAAACTAAATCAGTGACAGATCAATAATTGATTGATTTAAATTCATGTTAGATAAAAATAAAATAACACTAGGCAGCCTATTTGGGTAATTTTTTGTCCAGCAACATCCAGCTGCTGGGATAACAGCTTAAAGAAAATAGAATTTTTTTAGAAAGGGAACATAGTGGAGGAAGAGAGTATTTTGGAGTTCAGAGTCTTTCCAAGGTACTGGATGTCATGACAAACGATGAAATATGCTGGACATAGAGAGAAATGAAGAGATGGAAGGAGCTGATATATATATATATATATGAAAATATATATGTATATTTTATATATATGAAAATATATATGTATATTTTATATATATGAAAATAATATATATTATTGTATATATATATATATATCATTAATTAGAAGTCCTAATATTTTCAAAAATATTTTCATAAAGAAAATGTTGGACCAATTCCACTAGAATAATAGGAGATGATGTTGTGAAAATAAGACATCTGAAATCAAATGCCAAAGGAGTTACTATAATTTTTAATGATAACAAAGTCTAGGGAGCACCCATGACAATGAGTAGTTGAAGAAACTAGGAAAAGGCCATTGTGAGTAACAAGTATGAGAATACAAGAAACCACGTGCTTAGATGGGTCCCACAGAATCAGTAGCCTCTGGAGAATGAAGTGGCTCTAATGGAGTGGCTGATTAGTCATGGTAGACACTATTTTTTGATGTTCTATGTGTCTGTATTTTATGTACACATCAGCTCTTTTTTTGTTCAAGGAAGGTCAAGAGATCTGACCAGTGATTACATAGGTAGTACATGGAAAAACAAAGATTCAAATCTAAGTTTTTTAATCCAAAATATGTGCCATGGTTCTGCCTTCAGGAAAAGATAATTTCTCATCAGATCTATGGAAAATTGGGTAAGCTTAACACTGGTCATAACATTGGTAATGGAATCTCTGGGAGGCAAAGAGGGAAGAAAATACATATAGAGAAGGAAGACCTGGCAAAGGTGGAAAGATTGCCTCATAGTTCTCATCCCAACAAATTCTTCTTAAAGTGATCTGGCATCACAATGAATTTAAAAAAAAACATGAAAGAAAGAAATAATAAGCAAAAAATTCAAATATTAGTAAAATATTTGCTAAAAATTATCTGTATCCTAACATATATTACACGTTTTCTTTTCCCAAAAATGTACATCTATATAAATATTTATTATATTATAGGAAAACTTCATCAGTAGCTGAAAATCAATGATTTTTAAGAACTATTAGAGTTTATTGTGAAGAAGCATTCAAACTCTATCACCAAATGCAACCCATATTTTTCTAATACGTATTTCACAATCTCTACATTCTCTCTTTAGTCTCACACACTCACACACACACACACACACACACACACACACACACACACATACCCCTACGATTGCACTGGAAATACACATGCTGTGTTAGGAATGGAATGGGTTCCCATAATATCGCTCTTGCTTCTCTGTTACTATCAGCGATGGCTCAGGCTATGTGTTTATAAGTGAAGATGCTGCTAGTGGAGCATGGCTTCTTTGAGCCTCTTTAGCTTATTATGCAAGCTTCTAGTCCTCCTTTCCCATCCCTTAAACACTCATGTCACAACCATGTATCAGAAAGGCAGTCACCCTTGAGGTAGCAAGGCCCACCCTGAGAGGTGAGTTAAAAGGTGTCTTTTTCAATGTGCCCAAATACTTTCAGGCACTGAAGATGAATGTAGAACACCTAGCAGCTGCTTTTCCACGCTTCTGCCTCTTCACATGGCAGCCCAGATGTTCTTCAGTCATGTTCCTCCATTTGTCTGGCTCATAAACATAGGTGAGTGAGGAGCTACAGACCTTTTGAACCCTGTGGTCTCAAGGTCCACTTAGTTCATGTCTTCTTACTTGACCTCAAATGGGTGTCAGAAGACCCTCATTGAATACAACAGTCTCAGGGCATGTAACAAAGAATCATAATGGAAAGAATCCCAAAGTGCTTTTCTTAGAGCTTATATAAGCCAAAAAATGTCTGAGATTCCTCAAAATTGACCAGAGAGAGCTCAGATACATTGACATATAAACGATCAGCACTGGTAAGATTGAACACTGCCCCCAGGTAGCTGCTGCGAGCCCACATCTGCCCAGCAGTGCAGTAGCTCATCAGCTTCCCCTCCATCATCACCAGATCCTGGGGATACTTAGAGTTCCTCATGTAGACCTTGTGGCTCAGGGGCAGGTTGTTGCAAGACTGACCCCGAAAGTATACTTTGGAATATACAAAATACAGCCCAGTTTCATTGATCACAAGGCCACCCTTCTTATACTTCACTCCAGAAAGCAGGACAATTCCATAGGTGTCTTCCCATTCCAGAGGCATGGACCTTGAGTTGGGCTTGCCTGAAATAAATTCAAAAGGAGCTTTCAGCCAGGAATGTCATGCATCCGACAAACAAAAAATAAGTTTCTATGGCAAAACTGTGGGTCCTTCCTTGAACAAATGTTTTACCCAGAATGACAGCCTATACAGAACTGGCTGAGGGGCCAGAACTTGATCCATCACAGAATTTCTTAAACATTGTTGTCCTGTTTTGTCATCCACACAGTTAGAACAATAGTATATACCCCAATCAATTGCAGTAAAAAAAATTATTAGAAAATATTAGCTCTCTGGAACAAAGATTTTATTATTTTCAGAACTAACACCAAAACTACTAGGCTTTGAAGTTCTTTCCTGAAGGAAATAGCCAAATCCAAGGAACTCTAAAGTTCTAAAGTTGGGCAGGATCTTAGGAACCATCTGGTCCATCTTCTCACCTGCAGTAAGAATTTTTCAGCTCCTCAGTTTGGGCTACAGTTCCCTTTTCTTTGTATCCCCACAGCATCATGAACATAACCTAAATCTCTGCAGTGCTAAAATCATCATAAGTGCCTGTCTTTCCCTATTAGATGTCAAGCTCCCTGGGGGCAAGAGCCATGTGCTACTTATTTTCACATCCCAAAACTGGCACACAGCGGGTACTCAGTAAGTGTCTGCTGATCTGACTGGATCATCCTACAATTTCTGCCTAAACAATACCAGGGACAATAGCCTACCACTTTCTGCAATATTTATCCACTTCTCGGTTATTTATGAAGGTTACAGTGGGAGTGTCCATACCATATCATTTCATGCCACTTTGCAGGCACAGGCTGAAAGTCAACAAGTGCAGGACTGAGTTTCCCTTCTCACTCTTATTTATACTCATGGACAAAGCAGAGTAAAGCTCTTCCAGAAAACCAAGAAAGCACTGATGAAAATAAGTCCTCATTCCTCACCTTCTCAGCTCTCACCTTTTGGATCTGTGCCCCTAATCCCCAAGGGACTTGGGAATGACTGAAAAGAATGAGGTCATGGACAGGGGTCATGTCATAATCAGCTCCAGGTCTCCAATTTAGAAGAGGCCCTTGCCCAGAGAATAGGGGCTCAAAGTATGTTTGTAAGACTGACTCGACAAGAAAGAGGTTAGGATTATTGGGTTCAAATACTGTTACCAGGAAGTAACAACTCTCTAGAGCCCAGTAATGAAACCAAGCAGCCATTCTGCCTGTTGCCGAAAGCTTTCCCAAACCCTACCTGTACCTTCCAGACACAGACCTGTTAAATGGGCCACTTTCCTCATCTCCTTTCTTTCAGGGGGTGGACTAGGGTGGCCTGTGTGATAGAGAGAAGAAAAACACATGTTAAAATGAAATAGCAACGATTATTTTGGTGGGAATTTAAATCTCATTTTTTTTTTTTTTTTTGAGACAGAGTTTTGCTCTTGTTGCTCAGGCTGAAGTGCAATGGCGTGATCCCAGCTCACTGCGACCTCCACCTCCCAGATTCAAGCAATTCTCCTGCCTCAGCCTCCCAAGTTAGCTGGGATCACAGGCATGCACCACCACACCCAGATAATTTTGTATTTTTGGTAGAGACAGGGTTTCTCCATGTTGGTCAAGCTGGTCTTGAACTCCCGACTTCAGGTGATCTGCCTGCCTCAGCCTCCCTAAGTGCTGGAGTGAGCCACCACACCCAGCCTAAATCCCATCATTTAAAAGAAAAGATTTTAAAACCATAAATGCCAACAATCTGATATATACTAATCCTGTAAGTCTGAACTATAGGACTCACAGTAGTCTATATTTCAGAAATGAAAAAGTAAAAAAACAAATTATGATTGACATGCATAAATTATAATGTTACAATAAAACACGATTAATATAAACATTTATTCATAAAGCACTGTCACGTCAATTACTGTATTTAGAACTCACCATAACCCTTTGAGGTATGTATTATTATCTCACCTTATCGACTGCAAAATGAGCTCAAAAGTTGGGTAACTAGTCCAAGAAGACCCAGCTAGACAGTATCAGAGCTGAGACCACATCCTGGACTCCTGACTCCAATTCCAGGCCTCTGTCCACTCTGATTCTCTTGTCCCTAAGATTTACACGACAGACACTGAGGACTACTGATCTGTCTGCATGTCACCAGGTCTTCCCCCAGTGACATTTTACACTCTGCCCCAAATTAATTATATTAAGAACTCAGACAATCACCTCATATCACTGAGGCTTCAAATACCTTTAATGGCTCCTTCCTGAAGACGCAGTTGTATACAAGTCTCCTCATCACACAATCCCAGCCACTCTGCCCAGCCTCATCTCCTTACTCCCACTGAGCACTGCCACACAACGGGAGTTCTGTGGCCTACACATACCCCTAGTTCCCTTTCTGTGTGCCTTTGTTCATGCCATGTCTTCTGCCCATAATGTTCTTTCAAACAGATTTCTGTGTCAAATTCCTAAACATCCCATAAGGACTATCTAATATATCTCTTTCTTTGGGGAACCCTCTCAGGCCTTTTTTGGTCAAATACGATCTTCCCTTCTTTTGAAATCTAGGATCACTCTGTTTTCTCCGCTCTTTCTGACTCCTCTTCTCTGGGATAACTATATAACTTATCTTATTCCCCTCAAATAATGACAAGTTTCTTACAATATGTTGAATTCACCAGAGTAGCCCAGTTTCTAACACAGGATGTTACCAGCAAATGCTGGACAAATTAAATGGAAGGACAGACAATAGTTCTCAAAACAGACACTATTTCTCTGACTTCAACTATTTCAGACAAGATAGACAGTTGCCACTTAGCTAATGAATTCAGCTAACTGAGACATCAATTAATATTCACACAAAATGCTTGTCTACGTCAGGTTCATGATTAGCCTGTAAAACCCACACATGGTATGAGAATGGCCCAATCCACAGAGAACATTGCCTGAGCAATCAGGACCTCTGTAGTCACCCAAGACACCCCACCACGAAGGAGGTGTTAGTGAACAGGAAAGGCAAAACTGAGTTTCCTCTGCATTCCTACACCGCAAACCATCCGAGTGACTAATCTGGCACTCAGCCATGCACCGGCAGGAAATGGAAGAGAGAACCACATGTCTTTATATCTCTCACAGAGCCTAGTACAACGTTATTCTCACAGAAGATGCTCACTAAGAATATCTGCTATACAAATACTGGAATAAATAAACTGCAGATATATCCTAGACACTGGTGATGAGTGCTTCCTGCCCCAGGGCTTTTGCACGTGCCATTCCCAGCACTGAAATGCTTTCTCCCAGCCCCACCACACTCCACAGCACATGCATACAGCCCTTCCCACTGCGGCTTCTGTCCCCTACGGGTGTCAGCGTAAACAATACCTCCTTAGAGAGGGTTCTCCAGACCATTCCATCTCAGGTTGCACTGAGTACAACTTTGAAATTACATGGTTTGTTTGCTTGCTTTTTTTTGGCTTCTTCACCACGCTAAAAGCTCCCTAAGGACAGGCCCCCTGGGCTCACTCATCATCAGTCAGCATCCAGTACCCAACATCTAGCCTCACAGATGTGAATGAATAAGATACTTAATTAGTTAACTGGAAAAAAATGAAAAATGTAAAAAGGAGGAAATTAAAGAGTGTAAATAATCTATAATAGTATTTCTCAGAGAAAATCACTGTGAGTATGTCAGTATATAAAACTTTCTAGTTCCTTTCTAAGAATACAAAAATGTGCATACATGCTTACACAGTCAGTATGAAACTAAACATACCCTTTTGTAACTTGTCTTTTTATCTAACGATAGCGTGCACAATCTCCAAGGCATTAATGTCCTTCTGATACATCATTTTTAGTTGCTACTTATTAAGCACTCGTCTGAATACATCATAAAATATATGACTAACCTAGTATGAGGCATTCAAGTTTCTTCTGAATTGTTTATTATAAATAGGCTCATAAGGAAGTAATGAACATCCTTATATGTAAACCTTCAGGCACAGGCACATGTCTGATTATTTTCTTAAGATAAATTCTTAGCTATGGGATTACAACGTAAACTATTAGCTCCAAGCTTTTGATTGTATTTCCAAAGTGCTCTTCAGCGAAAGCTATAGCAATTTACATGTACACTGGCTGAAACTAATGTTTGAACAGGCTCGTTTCTCTCAAATCTTTGTCAATCTGGTTTTTTTTTTTTTAATCCTTACCAGTTTGATGAAAACTTGAAATTTCCTATTTTTACTTTGCATTATTTTAATTTGCATCTCTTTTCTTATTAGTAAAATTACTAATGTGATTTCCATGTGATAATTTACCAATTTCTGGTCCATCTAGACTAGAGAATATAATTGCTTACAGGGTAGATGGACCTGACTCATCTGATCATTTGACTTTTAATCACTAAACTGACTCCAGAGAGTGGGTGAAAGATGAATAATTGGGTACCTATTGGACCAGGCACATTCCACTGATTTTCAAAATGATCTTATTTAAGACATCCTCCAGAGGCTTTCTTTTTCTAACAAATATTTCCACTCTGCATGTGTACATATGGAAGTTCTAACATTTAAGGATTAGGATACAGACACAGGAGCAAGAGCATCCAACAGCGGCTCCTATAAGAACTTAACAATCTGGGATAGTAGACAGGAGACTGGGTCGCCTGCAGTAGCCACATCCAGAGAAACTGAAACTTGCTCCACTTAATAGATGGCCAGTGCTGCCTTCTGCTTGCTTCTGAGCTTCTAAGGATGAGATTTACCTATTCTCTTTGCAGAGGTATTCTGCTTTTCATCTATTTCTCATTCCACGGTCACTACAGAGAGTTGGGAGTTTCCCTACGTAATGAGGCACCGGTTCATGTACTGGAAAGCCCTGTAGGTGACAAGGCATCAGGAGTCTGTGTTCCTTCCAGCCCCAGCTCCATACCAGTGGTCTTGAGCGTGTTCACCTAATCTGTCTGGTATTTTGTTTCTCTTCCAAAAGATGGAATGACTGGACTAGATATATTCTAAGCTTCCTTCCAACTCTAAAAATTCAATGAATCTCATTGTAAATCTAAATCTAAAATTTCAGTGAATCTTATACTAGTGAAGTGTGTCGTAAAATCTATCTGTACAGAGCTTGCAAAACTATGCCCTGAAATTTCATGAGATCAGTGTTCAGCATGTCATCTTCTTGTCCTAGCTCCCAAACAAAGGGTTTTCCTTTGTGATCAAGGATACCTCATGACCGTCTCTGAGGGTGAGGCTGAACGTCCTTTGAATGATGGCTGAAGTCTTCCCTTAAGCTTCCCTTAAGCTGAAGTCTTCCCTTAAGCTGAAGTCTCAGTGACTTCAAGAAAAACCATCCTATTGTGGGCAATTGATTATCCTTATTAAAAGCATACATCCTATAAAATAGTTTATAAATAAAGCTTCACTGTAACCTCTTTAGAGAGTTTAAAAGAGGAGAGGATGTTTCTGAGAAACATCTATCTCTGCCTTCACCTCACCTTCTCTTCCCAGGAGTCAAAGCCACTGGCATGTGTGCCAGGACCAAGACGTCTGTAGAAGGAGACAGGCCTGGAGCCATTCCTCAGGGGGCAAAGGTCCAGGTTGTGTATGTGTGTCTCTTTCCAAAGTCAAGTGAAAGTGATTTTGAATTGTGTGCAGTGCTCAGCTATACTGATTGTGAGCAATTCAATTCACTTCACATTTTTAAAGCAGCTCAAGGAATCATATTGACCAGAGATTTAGATTTAGCCAGAATTCCTCTCATAGCACACATAAGCCTAAGTGTAGGACAAAATATAAGGCATTCCATTAACATAGTTCAGTGCTGAGGATCACCTTTGGGAACTCCACGTGCCCACGAAAAAGGACTCACCTATTTGCTTCTCCACAGATGATGCTGTATGCCTTTGGCTGGTAGACTAGTAAAAGAGAAAGAGAAAAGATGTATAATAAAAATAAAATTCTTTAAGCAAAAGAGGCAGAATTGTCAAATAAACCAAGCCCTGGAAAGAGAATCCAAATACCTCAGAACTTTTGCTAACTCAGACTTGGGCCAAGCAATTTTGCTTCACTGTCCCTCAGTTTTGTGATTTGGAATCGTACCAATATTTTAAGTACTTTCAAATTCAGTTTGGTCATCTGAACAAATTTACTTCCAAGCAAAACTTAAAAGTTTGGTTCGTTTGTTTGTTCGTTACTCCTTAAAACACTAGGTACGAGGCAGGAAGTGGTTCAACAGACTGAGTTGACACGTGAGGAAAAGATAACTGTTGGGTTCTGATTCTTCACAAAACAAAAATATTCCCCTCACTCATATGAGCCTCCCTTTCTCTACCTATAGAATAGAATAACTAGAACAACCCATTTTTAAGAGAAAAAAAAAAAAAAGAACTGAAAAGCACTTGGCAAGCCAGGCAGTGGGCCCTGCACCCCCTTGTGCCCGGTGCCTCCACGGCACGGCAGTCCACCAGCAGGCTTACCTCTCGGAGTTCTGCCAGCTCCTTCTGAAGGTTGAAGAGCTGAAACATCCCCAGTCCCAGTCCTACCAAGGCAACCAGAACCATGAAGAACATCACAAGGAGACACAGGCCTGTGCTGTGGTTCCCTCTCTTCTTCAGGGGTGGCAGTGGTAGTGGAGGCAGTGGTGGTGGTGGTGGAGGTGGCAGTGGTGGCGGTGGTGGAGGTGGCAGTGGTGGCGGTGGCGGTGGCGGTGGTGGTGGTCTCCTTTGACCAGGCCTTCTGGGCACAGAGGTTGGACAGGGAAGCACTGTGCCTGGAGGGGCCCAGGGAGAGCTGGCACTGCTGTCCACCCAGTAGATCTGGGGATATGGGTAATTGAAGGGCTGCTGCATGGCAGCCGGTGACTCCAGCCAGCCCCAGCAAATGGTCTTATTTCTTCCTAATCCTGTAGAGGCTGAGATGTCAAGGACGGGACTCCTGTTGCTGACTGCTCAAGAGAAGAGAAGCTGGATCTCTCTTATAGAGTTTCCATAGCTAAGGGAAACACCTCTGTTTGTCTCTGTCTCTCTCTCTCTGATTCTGCTTCTCAGAGAAACACCCACTCACTTTGCATCTGAAACTGAGCAGTCTCAAGAAGCTCAGAGCAAACCCCTGGAAGTTTCCGCCCACAATTTTCTGATGAAAGCCTTCGAAGCCCCAGGTACTGTCGCTGGGCTACCCAAAAAGGCTAGTAGGCTAGGCTCCCCTTCCTTGGGTCCTGCAGAGCAGGTCAGCACTGGGATGTAGCCCTGCTGGTGTCAACTGCTCCCAGCTCCAGGAGAATGGCCAGAGGAGATATAATTTTATAAATTATAACTGTATGCATTTTTATACATTATCATTGTATAATTTTAAGAATTCTACAATATATACAACTAAAAAACTATTTTAAAATCCCAAAATAACTCTAACAAAAATTGTTCAGAATCTCATTTTTAAAACTATAAAAATTCTACTGCAAATGGCTCTGAGGTGAGAGACCATGAAGTCATGGCCAAAGAAGTCACTCCCACATTTTACTTTTTGCAAAAAGAAAACATCTGTTGCCATCATCCCTTCCCCACACACAAGTACCATCTACCTTGACCAGCAAATCACCATAATTTACAGAGTAAAAACCTGCTACACCCACTTTAGAAATTAGCTCAGAGGCTGCAAACCAGTGGAACCCACAGAGCTGCTTTGTATTTCACAATGTTTTTCTTTTCATTGGTTGCCCACTTTATTTATTTATTTATTTACTTATTTATTTAAAGAGAGACGGAGTCTCACTCTGCCACCCAGGCTGGAGTGCAGTGGTGCTATCATAGTTCACTGCAGTCTCAAACTCCTGGACTCAAGCAGTCCTCTTGCCTTGACCTCCCAAGTATCTGGGATTAGAGGCATAGGTCACTACACCTGACTAATTTATTCTATTTTTTTGTAGAGATGGGGACTTGCTATGGTGCCCCAGCTGGTCTCAGCCTCCTGACTTCTAGAGATCCTCCCGCCTCAGTCTCCCAAAGTGCTGGGATTACAGGCATGAGCCACTGCACTCAGCCAGCCCAACTGACCACTTTTAATATCAATATTTAAAATATTATATCTTTTAAAATATACATTAAAATACATGTTTCTATTCTGTTTTGAATATCAGAATGTCAGACACCCTCAAGGCCATGTCTGCAAACCCAATCAGTGGGAACTAGGTAGCAGTTACCCCTGGGAATGAAGGACAGGTGTTCTGGGTCACCCAGCCTCCGCCACGCCCCTGTGTCTCACACATCACCTCACCATCTGAAAGGCCTGCCTGGTCTCTGCTGACATTTCTGTGTGCAGCTGCTGTTATGGTTGCCAGATTAAATACATGGTGACCAATTAAATTTGAATTTCAGATAAATAATACATAATTTTAGGACAAGTATGTCGTAAACGTGTCCACACATGGAATATACTAAACAATTATTTATTGTATAATCTGACGTTCAAATTTAACTCTGTGTCCTATTTCTTTGCTTTTTGTTTTGTTTTGTTTAAAGCTGGCCCCTCTCCTTGGACTCATCTCACCCCTTCTCCTCTGGCCTCAAATACCACCTATATGCCAATAACTTCCAAGTAGTTAGCTTCAGTCCTAATTATTCTCCAATATAAGCCATACAAATCCCCCATAAATCCCGATTTTTCATTTTTTTCATGTTTATTACTTTTCAAATTTTGTTAGTTTTTATATCATGCTTTGGGATTTCCGTGACTAACATTCAGGCCCACTCACCTGTACCAAACCAACATCAAAGGTACTATTTCCCCAATAGATTCTGCCCACCCCACTCCAACCCCATCTCCAAACAACCCGTTTCTCCTGAGGCCACTCTTTCTGGAGACGACTTCATCTCCTCTCTTTTCCTCTCCCCCAACATTTAACTGGTCACCCAGGATTGTTGCTTTTACCTGAGACCTGTTCCTTACCCTCCCCTCAGTATACTGTCCCCCCTCCCCCATCCTTGCCATTCCCATTTTTCTTACTGCTATTGCCCAGGGTCAGATTTTTATTATCTCTCACCTGAAATACTGCAACGATGCCCTAACAGGTGACCTGCCACCAATTTTTCCCAAGCCCGAATCACCAGTAAAATGCTACGAGAAAGATGTTTTTTAAAAAGCAAACCTAGGCCGGGCGCGGTGGCTCAAACCTGTAATCCCAGCACTTTGGGAGGCCGAGGCGGGTGGATCATGAGGTCGAGAGATCGAGACCATCCTGGTCAACAAGGTGAAACCCCGTCTCTACTAAAAATACAAAAAATTAGCTGGGCATGGTGGCACGTGCCTGTAATCCCAGCTACTCAGGAGGCTGAGGCAGGAGAATTGCCTGAACCCAGGAGGCGGAGGTTGCGGTGAGCCGAGATAGCGCCATTGCACTCCAGCCTGGGTAACAAGAGCGAAACTCCGTCTCAAAAAAAAAAAAACAAAAAAACAAAAAACGCAAACCTAATGATCTTACTTCCCTGCCTTGCGTTGAAAGGTTTGATTCCAGGTAGCATTACCCACGGCTCTTTAGCATCAGCTCCCACCGCCTCCTTGCCAGGCACTCCTGCTCACATCCCACTCGCCACTCTTAGTGCAACGGATCAGACTAGCAAGACTGTGCACGAGTTAACGAGCTTTTGAACTCACCTGTGCCTTTATTTATCATTATGAACTAAGTTTAAACTTCATTATAATCAGAAACTGTAATTTTAAGAATTCTACCATACATACAACAACAACAACAAAAACTATTTGAAAATCCCAAAATAACTGTAACAAAAATTGTTCAGAACCATGCTTTTTAAATTATAAAAATTCTACTGAAAATGCCAAAGATTCAAATAAGTGGGAAAATTCACCATATCCTGGATGGAGAGGATAGGCAGGTGGTGCTGCAGGATGGTTGGAGGTGGGTGGTTCTGGAGTTGTTAAACTATGTGGCGTCCAATCCCAGCTCTTCTGCTCATTAGCTGTGTGCACTGGACAAGTCACTTTCCCTCCTCAGTGCCACAGTTTTCTCATCTATATGCCTCCAGGCATAGAGAGAATCCGAACTGAAATAGAGTCAAAGAGAGCATTTTAAACACTTGTATTGATCTTTGGTAATAACACCAATCACAGGTTAGCAAAATCATGGAAAAATAAAACACCCATAGGTACAATAACAGGGACCCATTACGTTTTGGGATACTTCCCAAACCTTACTAAGAAGAAGAAATAATTGTTACAGGTAGATCTTAGTTCTGTGAATGCTAAAGAAAATAATATTTGCCTTTGAGAGATGAACTTAATAAACAAATAAAAGGCTGGTGGCTCCCACAGGCTGGGAATTTAAACTGAAGAGCTTTGCTCAGTCTTGCTCTACTCTCTCCAATTGTACCTGCAGAATCTTTAATTCTGGAACCAGAGGTTCCTTGGAGGATAGACAGAGAACAAATATTCAGAGCCGACAATCTCTTTTAGGAGGAGGGAGAGGCTTACCAGCCATAGAGATTCAAAAGGACCTGGGTGACACTTGGGAGCAAATTTACTTGGAGGACCAAATGAGAGAAACCATTGTATATAAGTTTTTAAAGATATCTTCTCATTAGATGAATATTCAAGTTACCTTTAATTGTGGTCCCTCCAGCTTTGTAATTTTGTTCAGAATTGTCTTAACCATCTAGAAAAAGGATTTAACTATGCTACTACACTAGTCACATGGAGGTTGAAAGGACAAGGTCATAAAGAGAACAAAGTTCCTATTTCTTTCTTCCATGCAGTATTGTAGCAGGGAAGTGGACTCAGTGGACTGTGACTCGGAGCTCCAGAGGTGACTTGGCAGTCACAGAGAGTGATGCATGAGGAAAGCAGCCACTATGAACCTTCACAAACTTAGAGGAGAATTCCAAGAGTATCTGCCAAGTGACTAAGAAAACCAAATCTTCTGATTTTCCCCAGAGGTGAGCAAAGACCCCAGTACATTCACAGACATGCACCTACATATTTAATTTCACTAAGTGATTTATCGACACTCATCTTAGTGGCTGAATGCCTTAACACCACCACCAATTATTTAAGAACTATTTTATCCCATGTCCTCAGCTCTACTTGATATTATCCACCTTTTAATTTTTGCCAAGCATCATGACTATAAAGTTATAAATCATTGTCTATATCTTCCTCTTTCTGATCTCTTGTGAGGTTGAACATCTGATCATATGCTTGTTGGCATTCAAGTTTTCCTTTCCGTATATATTTCCTGTTCACATGCCACGCCCATTTTTAAACTGGATTTCTCCTTGTACTTTATATTCTAGTTATTAATCCACAGCTGCACAGGTGTTGTATTTAGACTTTAATCCATCTGGAGTCCACCTTTGTGAGATGAGACAGGAGTCTATTTTTCCCCATGTATGAAACTAATTTTCCCACACAACCCATCTTTTCCCCCACTAAATTGGCATATTTATCACATGTCAAGTTTCTGCATATAGTTGAGTCTTTTTCTGAACTCTTATTTCTGTTTCATTGATCTGTTTATCTGTTCTAATACCAGGATCACATTGTTTCTGTAATTGTAGCTTGTGGAATGTCTTGAGAGATGGTGTGGCAAAATCCCCCACTTTTTTTCTATTTTTAAAATCTACTTATTGGGCATATTTAATTTCATATTTTTTATATCTCTGTGAAAAAAACTGCCATGTTCCTAAAAACGTCCTACTGAACTATTAACTGTAATTGCAATTATTTGGAGGAACTGTTATTTTTACCCTATCTGCAGCAATTTTTCATATTTGTATGACCTTTCAAATTTTTCTCCAGAGTAGTCTCATACACCCTTTCTCAGATGAATTGCTTCTTACTTTGTAGTTTTGGTGTGATTACAAATGGAGTCTTATTTTCTGTGGTCTTTTCAGATGCTGTGGTAGGTAGTGTCTAAGATGATGCCGGTCACCTGCCACTTCCTGTTCCGTATGCACTTCCATTATACCCTCTCCTTGAGTGTGAGCTAGACTTACTCATTTCCACCTAATAGAATACAGCAGAAATGATGG